TATAATAAAAGTGTATCATTTATATAAATTGAATTTTTTTTAAAAGTTAGTATTTATGCAAAATATTTCGAAAAATCTATATATATATATATATATATAAAAGGCTTGATTATTTTTTAAATAGTAACTATTTCCTTCCAAAAAAATCTATTTGCTATTTTGGGAAATTAATTTAACAATTTAGGGTATATTTTAAATATTCACTTATGGAAATTGCGGTTCCTTATTTAAGAAAATAATTAAGCCATATGAATATTCATTTTTAAGATACCTTAATTACTCAATTAATTTAATAATTTATGGTATATTTCAAATAATCAGTTATGGTAAATTCATTTTTAAGATACCTTAATTACTCAAATAACGTGAATTGGCTAATTTACCTAAATATGAGAATTTCGGCTGCAATATCAATTATGTTTAATTTATTGTTTAATAAATTGTATAATTTATTGTTTAATAAATGTTTTATATTTTTCGTATAATTTTTTTGTGAAATATATTTTTAATATACCTTAATTACGCAAATTGTGTAAATTCAGTTAATTTATTCAATTTGTAAATAATTAATACAATTATGAAAATATCGACAACAGTGATTAATTATGCAGTTTGCAAAAACTGTTCTAAAAAAATTGTGTAATGACAATTTTTATTTATATATTATTTAATAAATGTTATTCATTTTTTGGTATTTTTAATTGCTCAAATCGTGGATAATTAAAGAAATAGTTAGACAATAAAATTTTTTATTTTTATCTATAATAAACGTGGGTCTTGATTTTGTTTTGTACATTGTGCAATTAATTTCGTGGTTAAATTGAATATCATTTTTTGTATTGTATCGATAATGTATGAAATTGAATTATTTGGTATACTATATATTGATCCAATATACCCACTTATGGTAATAAATAATATTTCAATATTTTTTTTTCATATTGCTAAGCACTTTACTCGATATTAATGAAAGAAAAATCTGGATAATACTATGACCCATTTTTCTTTGTAAATGTGCGTGTAACAGATCAAATTAGTTGGTGTGTATGTGTGTGTGTGTATATATATATATAAAGCTTTATTTTTACTTAAATCACATTGTAGTCAAATCAAAGTTCTGAATAATTATTTTTTAATGACATCTATTTTGAAATGAATATAATGTAAATATTATCAGTTACTTGCATCGTATGAGTCGTGTATTAATTTTAAATAGACATATTTTATGTAATTTTGTACAATTTAAATTTCATATAACATTTTCAAAAAATTAATATAAGTAAATTGTATTACATATTGATTCCATATTTCTAATTTATAAATATTATTTAATGAGCATTTGTAATTTATAAATATTAATGAATATTTCTTACTCGTGCATCGCACGGGATTCGTACTAGTTTAGTTTATATGTAAGTTAGCCTATTTATTTTGTCTAATTTGCATACTTATGGAAACCTTAAACATGCCTTGTATATATATGATTTATCATAAAATATGTTCCATGAATTACATAAATCTCGCCACCTTCCATCTGTTCCATAATAGATGCAATTAACTCATTTTAAAATCATGCCATCGTCGTAACTTACCATACTCCGCAGGAAAAATAAACATATGATGAGCAAGAGGCCCTTTTTTTACCAATAGTGTATTGACATGTGTCCTGTAATAAATACACTTTGGACAAGTGTCAATACATTAAGTGGTGAATGACTCTATAAGAAAACTATCCGATGACTCCATAAAATTTTTGCTAATTGGAATAAGAGAAATAAAACTCGATCAACAAACAATTGGATGATTCATTTTGTTGGGTTCTCTATACTGAGTGAAACGCAACAGAAATAAAATGAAAAAAATAAGCATTTATCGAATAACTATAATAATTAATATTTATTATTATATAATTAATGTAAATTTTAATTGATTAATATGATCCATTAATATACATATAAATGACTATGATTGGACCTCATATCAACTAAATATGCACGATTTATATATATAAGGGAACGATTTGATTAACGACCTAAGGATAGGACTCGTTCACGAGCTTAGCGTCCCAACCTACACTCTCAACATAGCTGCAAAAGCCCGGAATTTTATTTCAGCATTATAATTAGCAATAACGGATGCATATATAAAAGGGTATATAATTTTTTCCAAACATGTATTGTGCGTGCTTTTGAGATTTTCAACCTATTATATTTTTTGTTGTAAATTGCAACCTAAACTTCATGAACATTCATTATTTGCACGCTCGCCTACGTCTTGACCATCCGATCATCCGCAAAAATAGACACGTGTATGGTCAAGATGTAGACAAGCGTGCAAATTATGAAAATTCATGAAGGTTGCAATTTACAACAAAAAATACTACAGGTTGAAAATCCTAGCTAAAAACACGTATAGTACAGGTTGGGACCAATGTTTTACCTTATATAAAATAACATGTCCAAGAGGAGTAATGGATAATCATAGAGTCCTAAGGTTCATTCTAATAACAAAAGAACTCGAAAACGAACTTTTAACTCTACAAAACACTTCTTTGATATTGTTTCTATTTTATAAGGCACACACTCGAGCGAAGTTCACAGATTTGTGATAGCTTCACGAATTTGGAAGATAAACAGTTTTTTTTATATATTTAGGCTAAGCATCAAGGTAGTTTTATAGTTAAAACAAAAGAATAAGATTAAATTGCAATATTCATAAAAAGTGGAAAATATAAGTTAAATCTGGTGTGGAACTAAGTCCCCAGAGTTATAAATACCAAAATGGAACTCTGCTTTTCTGATGGTCTAAATCTCATGCTACAAAGTACAATCACTCACAATGAACCCTTAACATTATTGAGCATTCTTCTATGCCACCAGCAAAGGATTTTTCATGGTCTATCAAAAAGTCTTTTACTTTCAATGATACGGAATATGATCTCCTATTCCACTTTCATCTTCCATTTTATTTGATGAATGACATGTGTACAAATATGAAATCATCATTTACACGTGTCATTCATCCAATAGAAGGAAATACGAATCTAACACCAAAGCATAACAGTAAATCATTCCATCTAATACAAAAGAAGCAATAATTCTTCTTCTATCAAAAGCAAATTTTCTCCACAAATCACTTGAGCTAAAGTCGATTCTCAATATGACCGAAAGAACTTTTATGGAAATTTGAATCTACCTAAAAGTTAAAGGTTTATTTATTGATTGCAAATTTGGTTAATAATGACAATGTGTTAATAATAATAATAATAATAATAATAATAATAATAATAATAATAATACAAATATATTATCTACATTAAATGCCAATGGTGTTTGAGTAGATAGCATAAATGAGGTTCAATCTCTATTCCTGCTTTTAGTGGTTGTTTCCCCACTTGTATTGATGAGCCTTTGTGTCTACCTAACAAATCACATGCTAAATAAATGAAAAATGCTACGTCCCCCGCCATTTACTCACT